ATCTTAACCTCCAACAACTTTTTCATTTTATTTGTTAATAAATAAATTTAATCACAATCCAGCAAATTGGATAAAAAACAGTAAAAATTCAAATATTTAACTTTAAAATAAATCTATTCTCTGTTGTTCTTTTTACAACAAAATCAAAGATTAGTCAAAACTTTAAGCTTCATTTTCTTGTGTTGAGAGTTGGTCAGCTGTCAGACTGTTTTGTCTTAATGACTTTGGGACCAGATAAAATGCTAACGAGGGTCAGATTCAGCCCACAGGCCTTCACTTGGACACATGAGCTGTAAGCTGTGTTTTTGACTGATTTGTGCAACAATTAGCTGCTTTGTTTTCATCACTGGATGCTTTCAGCTGCTTCTGCTGCTAATTCCCTCCTGGTCTGAACACACACACACACACACACACACCAACACACAAACAATAAAACACACACAAATACACACATAAAAAGCACAAAACAATAATTGAATTTTGAAGCTCGTTAGCACTGCGGCTCGTAACGTGCTCCTCAGACGGCCTCCAGGAAGAATTCACTCCTTCATGTCAGAAACACCTGAGCTCCATCAGAACCTGAACCTCCACACTGATCCGGTCTAGAGGACCCAACAGGTCCAGGATCTGTGCAGGACTCTGGAGTCCTCCTGGCTCAGCTTCAAGGTTCAATTCTSTAATAATCCTGTTTTGTTCTTTAAGTTCATTGACGGGAGTTTTTAGAGCCTGCTGAGAGAATCAGGAGAGCTGAGGGTTCTGCTTTCCAGGACTCTGGTCCAGCTGAGAGACCAGGACTCTGGTCCAGCTGAGAGACCAGGACTCTGGTCTGGTCTCAGAGCCAGCAGGTCCAGCACAGAAACCCAAAGACCCTCTGCAGGTCCTGGGTGTTCCCAGACCAGAGAGTTCTGCTCAGTGGATCCACCTCCTTCATCCGACAATCATTCAGGAAGAACACGCCCAGATGTAGAGACTCCGCCCCCTCAGGTGTTCCACCTGGCTCTAGTTCAGGACCACCAGACTTTAACTCTGATCATTTTAGTCTAATAAGAAAAGAAAAAGTCGAGACAGATTTAATAACATTTATATTTTTTTGATTTTCCTTAAAGAAGGTTCTGGTTCTGGTTCTGGCCCTCGGCCCACATTGAGCCGGGTCAGGCTGCAGGGACATGGTTCCTGTTAGTTTCAATCTGCTTTCACAGATCTTCCAGCAGAAGAGAATAAAGAGCTTTTATTAAAGTCCTGACGTCGACTCGTTAATCTGCCCCAGGCTCCGGGTCAGAACCAAACTGGGCCGAACATAATACAATAATCTGTGAGGGGGGGCAGAGTCGGGCCGGGCCGCAGGCAGCTGCTGCTCGTCAGGCAGGAGGTGGTCCTGGTCCTGGTCCTGATCCGGTCTGCGTTTACAGTCCTGGTCCTGGTCCACCTCCTGTCCTCTGGACCTCCATGGGGTCTTGGTCAGATCTGGAGGTTAGTCGTCCTCACGTGGTCCCACATCATGATGGTCCCTCCACCGTGCCTGACAGGTGGTCTGAGAGACCCCCGTCCAAACATCTGTCTCTGTGTCCAAATGGACCGGTACACAGTATGTACTGCACACCTACAGAATACACACCAGGTGTGTACCAGTACTTACAGAGTACTCAACCAGCTGCTGGGTCTGGTTTTATTGTGGTGTTACTCGTTACCTTACCAGGTAGGTACCAGGTACGTCTTTTTAAGAACCGAGTACACAGGTGTTTCAGTAAAATAACTAAAGTAGAAATACCYGAACAGAGAATGATTGTAGTAAAAATAAATTTCACTGATAAGAAAAGTAAAAATCATAGAAGTGCTCACGGTAATCAGGAAAATAAAAGTACTTTGATCCACACTCTAAGAAATGAAGTGTATTTACTGAACCAGACTGGAGGAAGGATCAAATCTGACAGAATTAGAGATAAAAGCAGAAATATTTAATCAGAAATATTAAAATAAACAAACAAACAAACAAACAAATAAATAAATAAATACATTTAAAACACACCAGTTACCATTAAAACCTTTTTTTTTTACTGGGTTTAGTGGAAMCCGTTTGGTTCAGTAAATTCAACACATTATTTTTTAGAGTGTGTAAACGTCATAAAGTATTTACATTTGTAACGAGTAACCAGGTGTTTTTAAGTAAATATGTAAAAATGTTGCTTTTATGTTTTCAATCCTACAAAATAAAAGTCAACCAGATTAAAACATTTAAAATTTCTAATCCTCGTAACAAACTTAAGTACTGAAACAAAGTAAATGTACTTAGTTGTACAACTTTGACATGTACCTGCTGGTACTACAGTATGTTCATGACTTGGTCCCTGTGGGTACCAGGTACCCGACACCTGTCAGGTGACAGGTGTCGGGTACCAAGTACCTGACAGGTGTCGGGTACCTGGTACCTCACATGTGTCAGGTCACCTGTAGTTTTTTAGTATCTGACAGTGTTCAGAACCTGAAGACCTTCCTGTCCCCGCAGGTCCTCTCAGGGTGGTGGTCCCCACAGAGTCGGTGTCCTCGTACCTCGGCGACACGGCCCTGCTGCGCTGCGAGGTTTCGGGCGAGCCCACTCCCGTCATCCGCTGGCAGAAGAACCGGGAGGACCTYCCTGTGACCTTTGAAGCCCACTCTCGTCTGGCCGTGCTGCCGTCCGGTTCCCTGCAGGTCAGCCGGGTCCAGCCTCCGGACTCGGCCATGTACCGCTGCCTGGCCGACAACCCTGGCAGCACCCGGACCGGGACGGACGCAGAGCTGCGAGTGCTTCCAGGTACCTGACCCATCCAGAGAACACTGAGTCATCGTATACGCTGATGACTTCCTGGTGTTTGTTTTTATATTTTACAGTTTGTCACAAAGTTCAGCTCTTCTGCTTTCACAACTTTTATACTTTTAGCCACTTCTGCAGCTTATTTGCAAATATTTTATCCTCTAAAACATTCAGGTCTCTGCAGATCTCAGTTCTCTCACTCTGTTCTTGTCTTTTTATGGTATTCTTAGCTTTTGGCTACTGTTCTGCTACTTTAAACTTTTATCCAGTCATTTGCCTTTTTATAGCTTTTCACCACTTTTCTGCATGTTTCAGTTTTAGTTTGATTTTGGTTACTTTTATTTTAATTAATATTCTATTAGCTTTAACTTTTGCTAGCTTTATGCTGCATTTAATATTCGGCTACATGGTGTTTTAGCCTTTCTTTTGACATCTTGCACCATTAGCTAGCCTTTTGCCACTTTTAGCTTACCTTTGCTGTTTTCTTCACATCCTTTGAAAGGCTTTAGCTTCTAACTAGCCATGTGCTCATTACCTTCTAGCTAATGTCCTGCAATTTTTAGCTTGTCTTTTAGCTTTTGCTTGGCTAGTGCTACTTTTAGCTTTTTCTAATATTTGGCTGTTAGCTAACGTTTTGACATTAACCAGACGTTTGATTCTTCTCGCTAACGTTCTGCTGCTTTTAGCTGTCCTTTAGCTCAGTGTCAGAGGTGTAAAGTAACTAAGTACAAATACTTTGTTACTGTACTTAAGTAGAAATTTTGGTTATCTGTACTTTACTTGAGTAATTATTTTTCAGAGTACTTCTTACTTCTTACTCATTACCTTTTTACACAGTTATCTGTACTTTCTACTCACTACATTTTTACACAGTTATCTGTACTTTCTACTCACATTTTTTAAAAAGGTAAGAAGTAGAAAGTTGTTACTCCTGTTTTATTCTGAGTTGTTATTATAAATAAATCCTCTCCTGATAAACTGTGTCTCCTATAGAGTGAATTTAATTGTGTTTGGATGAGAAGTATAAATATATACCATTCTGACACACTATTAGCTTGTACACAACCCATCACAGCTGCACGCTGTTAGAAAATATAGTTTTTGGAGAAGTCACCTCCCAATAAATGTCATTTAGGAAAATCTAACTGCTCACTTTTACTCTTTTGATACTTTAATACAAAAAATATCAGATACTTTAAGACTTTTACTCAAGTAATATGTTTAGAGAAGACTTTAACTTTTACTAAAGTATTTTTATGATAAGATACTTGTACTTTTACTCAAGAGGTACTTTATACAACACTGCTCAGTGTTTGGTCTCCTTTTGATGCTGTTAAAGTTTAGTTCTCATCTTGTGTTTGATCTTTAGCTGCTGTTGTGCTACTTGAGCTACAGTTTTCTTTATTTTAGCTCATTTTGCTGTTTTTAGCTGTTTTCTTCTTTTTTTCTAAACCTGGCCAGTAAAATGAAATTATTTCTATTTTTTAGGTTCATGTTGAGATTGAAGTTTTTTTTTCTTTAAATATTGAATAATATTTCACTGAGACTTGTGGAGGTGTGGACTTCCTGGTGGACTTCCTGGTGGACCTCCTGGTGGACTTCCTGGTGGACTTCCTGGTGGACTTCCTGGTGGACGTCCTGGTGGACTTCCTGGTGGACATCCTGGTGGACTTCCTGGTGGACGTCCTGGTGGACTTCCTGGTGGACATCCTGGTGGACTTCCTGGTGGACGTCCTGGTGGACATATTGGTGGACTGCCTGGTGGACGTATTGGTGGACTTCCTTGTGGACGTCCTGGTGGACATATTGGTGGACTGCCTGGTGGACGTATTGG